TGGCTTGTTTACCTTAACCAAAAGAAGGCTGAGGGGGGACATGATTGCACTCTTTCAATATATTAGAGGGATAAATGCCAAGGAGGGAGAGGAATTATTTAAGCTCAATACCAATGTGGACACAAGAACAAATGGATATAAACTGGCTATTAGGAAGTTTAGACTCGAAATTAGGCAAAGGTTTCTAACCATCAGAAGAGTGAAGTTCTGGAACAGCCTTCCAAGGGAAGTAATGGGGGCAAAAGACCTATCTGGCTTCAAGATAAAGCTAGATGGGTTTATGAAGGGGATGGTTTGATGAGGTAACATGATCTTGGCAATTAACTGACCTTTCACTATCAGTGGTAAATAGGCCAATAGTGGGAAGATAGGAGTTGCTATAGAGAACTTTTTTCTGGGTGTCTGGCTCGTGAGTCTTGCCCACATGCTCAGGGTTCAGCTGATCGCCATATTTGGGGTCGGGAAGGAATTTTCCTCCAGAGTAGATTGGCAGAGGCCCTGGAGGTGTTTTGCCTTCCTCTGTAGCATGGGGCACGGGTCACTAGCGGGAGGATTCTCTGCATCTTGGGGTCTTTGAACCATCATTTCAAGGACTTCATTATCTGAGATATAGGTGAAAGGATTATTCTAGCAGTTGGTGGGATAGATTCTGTGGCCTGCATGGTGCAGTGGGTCAGACTAGATGATCAAAATGGTCCTTTCTGACCTTAAAGTCTATGAGGTCCAAAAATGACCTCCCCTAGTCTGGCAAAATCCCTCATCTAGAACAAGTCAGGTCCCGAGGGTGCTGGACCAGGGAAGTCCAACCTATAGGGGTATTACAGCAGTTATCTGAACGTTTTAGCAGCCTCTCAGCCTTTCTTTGGGCACAAAGAGGAAAACATAACTCACATGGAGCAGCATGTTACAGTGACATTCATTTTGCCAATAGTTAGAACCCTCTACCCAAACCAAATGAGTCTTCCCATTGACTTGGATTTTAGATCAGGCCTATAACAAACATGGGTGGAAAAAATGGCTGTACCCTCATTTTTATTAAAGTGATTAATCTAGCACTATTGCAAACAATGAAGGACATAGCTTAAAAAAAAAGTCCCTTTTCTTTTTTACTTGACCTCTCTCCATTTATCCAAACTATGAAAAGGCTTTTTCTGTCTTCTCTCCTTTAGAGAGAGACCCAGTTATTGCATCCAGGCTATGTATAAAGATGATTAAGATAAAACATTCCCTCACAATTCTTTAGCCACCTCTTGTATAGCGTAGGACTTTGGAATTTTATCTTTGAAACAATAGTTCTTTCCAGCCTTCATCAGAATAGACTGGATCTCCAATAGCCGCTTAAAGTTTTAATCCTCTATTGATTGCATTTTTCATTAAAAAACATTTATCAAAACTAAACTTGTAAACCCTGCTTGCTTAACTGCTTTCCAGAACTCCTAGGATCTGGGGAATGGGAGAACTGAAAAAAAGTGGGACTGGAAGAGGGGGAAACTCAGAGCTCTGATCCTTAGGGAAGCTAACAATGTTGCTACAATCTGGTAAAGATGTTAATTTTGGAATCATCGTTATCAGTTTTCTGCTGCCATCTGTGTTGGCCCAGACCAACTGCTACCAACCCTTGTATACCACTGGTAGTGCTGAGGTCAGAGGTCCATTAGGCTTTGTCTATACAGCCAGCTTTTGCCAGCAGAGAGTAGGCAAATGAAGCGCGGATTAGCATTTTGCTGCACTTCATTTGCATTATCTATTCGAGCCATTTTTGCGCAAGGGGTTTTGGCACAAAAACAAGCAGTGTGGACATTTCCTTTTTGCACAAAAAGGAAACATCCACACTGCTTGTTTTCATGCAAAAATGGCTCAAATAGATTATGCAAATGAAGCATGACAATGCTAATAGCGCTTCATTTGCATACTCTCTGCTGGCAAAAGCTGGCAGTGAAGACATAGCCTCAGAATGCTGTGTCTGACTGAAGCAAGGGAGACATCATTCATGAGAAATCCAGAAACTTGCCCAGAGGATATCAGACCTGCTGAGGCCATTGAAATACCAAGATATGGGCTGTCTAGCAGATACGCAGTTCAATCAGGTATGGAGAAAAGTGAAGTATTGGGGGGGAAAACAGATGGAATTAGAATCCAGCAGTAGGAATGAGTTAGAAACTTAACTGCAGTACTCAGAAGGTGAGAGAGAGCAAAGAATCAGGGTGTACAAAAGGGCACTTGGAAGGGAGGGAGAAGTACTTACAATTTTAAAAAAGCATGTTCAAGAGCCCAAAACTAACGTCTCAGAATTCTAAGCTGCAACTTGTTTAATCAGACCCAATTCATCTGTCCCTGGTTATAAATCAATTTACAAGAACACCAGCTGCTGAGCAAATGCCTTTGTCCCAGCTTTCTTTCATGTAGCGATAGAAGCAAATAAATGTTCACATTTAACTTTGCTGGAGTATTTAATTTTTGTTTTCAGTTGATTTGTTATTCCCATGAAGCTCTCTTGACATCCTACCCCCAACAAAAATGTTTTCAAGCTATATTTTTTAACTTGTCTG